CCCAGACTCCATCCCTGCAGGTGGCGGTAATGCACCTTAAGTTGGCTTGTAACCCGCCAATAATCATCATAAGAAGAAGAAGGTTCAGGAAGTGATTCAAATTTTGCCGCGATGTATTGACAGATACTATATAGCTCAAGGACTCTCCACGCAATTTGTGAGTGACGTTTTGGTTAGTTTGGTTAGTTTGGTTAGTTTTGGCAGCGATGGACTGGCGACCTGTCCAGGGTGTACCCTGCCTCTCGCCCGCAGCTGGCTGGGATTGGCTCCAGCCCCCCGTGACCCCCTTTGGGACTAAGCGGTTTAGAAAATGGATGGATGGATGGATGGGTTTTTTTAGGTGTTTGTTTAAATGAAGCCTTCAAAGAAAAGGAAGTTTTTCCCGGTGTTGAAACACTTTGACTTGGTCTCTCCAGTAAGGTAAGTAACATTATAAGATGTACAGTGTTTGTATTACATTGTGCTTTAGTTTTCAGTCTTTTCTTTTATTCCTAGGTGAAATGTTTGTTGTGTGTTAAATAAAAGGTGGATCCAGCCAGGGCGGGTAATTAAAAATTCTACTTTAGTGACATGTTCCTATTTATTTATTTATTTATTTATTTTTTTACCACATTTGTTAATCAACCATAATGAGGACATTACATAAATGATATAGGTCAAAAGTCAAAGTTTATTTATAGACTTCAGACACTGTCATTTCAACTATTGATGTAAAGGAGGAGGTTCACATTGGTTGCTGCTTTAAAGTGCCTTAGATTTGTGTTACGGCCTATTTTGTTATTGCTCATCTACTTTATGTTTCACTTGTATTGTGTGGCATTCATGTGGACGGCAAAGTAAGAATTTCATTGTACAGACTGGAGTTTTTCTTTGTGCTATGGTTTCACTGCATATGACCGGCGAGTTGAACACACTCAGAACAGTGGAGATGACAGCGGACTTCAGGAAGAGCCCCCCCACCATACTCAGCAGCACTGTATCAGCAATAGAGTCCTACAGGTTCCTGATCTCCACCGTCTCCCTGGTCCTGAAGTGGACATCCAATATCAGCACCATCACCAAGAAGGCAGGTACATATAAGTAAGGAAAACCCTGAAAGAGTGAGTGAGTGAATCAGTCGCCTTGTACAGAGCACTGCACAACGAAACATCCACACGCTAAAACATCTTCTTTACTTAGATGTTTGAGGATACCTGACCAGTGGTTATTGTTCTAATTCATGTGTAGTAGCAACGTAGCTCTGCTCTTTTAAAGATCAGAGTTCTGTATTGTGTTGTGTAACTTTGTTCAATTCAATTTTATTTGTATAGCACTAAATCACAAAAAAGTCATCTCAGGACAAATTACAGAGTAAGGTCTAGAGCATAGACTGTATTATTATTATTGTTATTATTATTATTATCATTATAGAGAGAAAACCCAACAATAAGCCAAAACAGTTTTAAAAAAAACTTTAAACTGTTGCATGTTGGGAGCTCAGGGGACCGCACTACCCCCCCGTGGTCCACCAGTTTCATCACTGTGCGCTGTAGTTTCCACAGCAGCCACTAATGAACGCTAATGTTTCTGACACAAAGGCGACCACTAATGAGGTGAGCCGCTTCCTAACAAAACACTTATCAACACTTTCTGATGGTAATTAGCCCTCTGGGAGCACAGACAGAGGCCCAGTAATAGATGTTTACCAGAGCTCAGAGGACAGGAGTAATGAAAGCTCCAGGGATCCATGGGGACTCGCTCCACTAACAAGTGTGACAAACTTCTGGCTGCCAATTACATGATGTACAACATAGTAAACTTTGGTCCACAGTAAGAAAACTCATCAACCACTGACCTAAACAATGTCGATGAACCTTAACTTTCCTCTAGTGCCATCGTTTGCCATTTGAGTAGAGCCCATAATGCATATTACCATCTAACAGCCAGACTCACAGAGCACACAGTTTATTTTAATGAATCCATAAAACATATACGACCTTGATTTTGTCAAGTGTACTCTGAGAAAACGACCTACAGAGCGTCAAACAGAAGAAAAGGCTGGAAACACATGTGTGTTTTTTTAAAATAAAAAACACCAGAAAACCAGCAAAACACACCAAAAATACTCTAAAGATAAAGGTTATGTGTAGAAGACCATGATTTTGGGATATCCATGTGTTTTGTGTCTCATACAGATTAAAAGACATGAGACTGTCTAATGTAGCACAAAGACCGGCAGCTTTTCATGGAGTGCCCCCCTGCTGCCAGGCTTTATGCTATGCTGGGCTAAACACAGTCATACTGAACACACAGGAAAAGATGAGGACTTCCAGAAATCTGTTCTTTCATATCAGTCATGCAGGGTTTGGTTTGTGGAAGAAATATTTAAAATAAATCAGTGTACTGTGACAAGAGCATCATTGTTATTTGTCACTAAAACACCAACTCACAACTGGAGGTCTGAAGAAAGACCATAGAAACAAAAGGCCCTGCTGCAGGCCGGAGTCTCTCCTGAGAGAGAGTACTTCCCTGTCCGTCGCTCCCTGAACGCCTCACTGCTGTTTTATTAACTGCTGGTCACTGAGGCCCCTGGGAGCTGTGAGGCCTCCAGGACCCTCATTAGGGCCTGGTAATAACACAGGTAACAAGGACCACAATACACACATGCACAAGGCAGTGTGGGCTTTAACACACATTAACACTGTGTAATTAATTTCACAGCCTGGTGCACCACAGTGTGAAAAAATCATTATCAGTGATGAATGATTTCATAATTGGAGTGAATATAGCAGTCACAGCCCTAATGTATTTAGCATCACCTACGCTCCACATTTATTAACTAGTACTTACAAATGCCTGTAATCTTCTCTGATTTATTTGTCTCTACAAACATATATCAAACAACATGTTGCCTCTAAGTTGCTCCTTTAATGTGGAAACTACTCAAACATTCTGGTCATTGAGAAACTTTCATTCTGGGGTCTCCTCTCCCTTCACTGACGTACCAGGTTTGTCATCAAATGTTATTCTAGGACATCATAATTTACAAATTAGGCATTGATTGTAACCACAAAAATGTCATCCTTGAGTCCCATTGGATGTTTGTGCTAAATTTGAAGAAATTCCCTCAAGGTGTTCCTGAGATATCGCGTTCGCGAGAATGGGCCGGAGAGACGGCCATATGGACGGATGCAAAGATGGACAGCCAACCAGACAAAATGAAGCCTCCAGCCTTGGCACGGAGGCTTAAATATTCATGGATCATAAGTTAACAGTAATGATATAATATCAATTTTATATTTACACAATATCTATGGAATAGTATCAATATAACTTTACAAGAGACTTGGCCACCTGGCCTTCAATATCACACACTTTGAAAAGGCACCAAGGCCACCTTACTGGAGTTATTTTTAAAGTAATTTTGAAGTGACTTTGAAAAAACAAACAAACTTTGTTTTAAAAAAAAATCTGCATGTTGTCTCTGTAATTTTATGATGTATATTTTTCAAGCATCGGGTCCCCACAAGGAAGGCCGATTTCCCACAATGTCAGTACTAGATGTTCATGTGCACAACCAGTAATTGAAGGAAAATAAGAGTTTCTGTAATAAATCTTTAATGAGGAGGTCAGACACCTGAAGCAGACATTTGTTACCCTGGTAAAGACAATTACGTGTCTGTGTTTACTTTGCAGATGCTTGTTCATAGCCACAGAGGAAACTAAAAGTCGGTCCCTCTGGTGTTCCTTTGCTATCCTGTGTCCAATTTACATTTTTGATGCAAAGGATCTGATGTAACTTTGTGTAATTAACGTTTCTCGGCCTCATTATATCCTCCATTATAATCAGAAGAAAGGTCAGTTGCTGAAAAGCCAGAGTGTGAAGCTAAGATGAAGTCCTGCCTTTATCGGACTGAACCTGACTGAGCAGAGCCGAATCTGATTCATGTCTTCAGGTAAGATGATGATGTTCGCATGTTGTATAGATCATGGTCTGGTGTTTGCAAGTTGTGTTTTCTTTTGTGCAGGGGCTGAGATGTTTAAAGCCTGATCACTGTTTATTACCTGTGTCTTGTGTGCTATCAAATGGAGCTTGTGAACAGATGAAGTTAGTCTGCACTTGTTGTCTGTTGACAGCAGATCTGTCTCCATCCAGCCATCTATCATCTGTCTGTGCTGAGGAGAAATGGAGCTTTGGCCGCTTCAGGTCTCACTTGAAAGCCCCAGAGGTCTGTGAGTGTTTCTGTGCTTTTCATTGTGTGTTGCTGACTCTGTGGTGCACTGGTTTCATGGTGTGTGAGCTTTGTGACAGACAACATATGGCTAAGTTACATATGAGGCATTAATTTGAAAATACTCATCATTTTCTAATATCTACATTTATCTTGGTGCTGAACTGTTTTTGTCTAATGTACACAGAGGC